AGCCTTGAGCAGGTGGACTTAAGATGGTGGGGTTATACTTCGGTTTTATACATTTCAGGGAAACATGAATTACAAGTAAAGTCATAAATCAATATGTGGAAGGCATATATTGGTTATACCCTAAAAGGTGGGACATCTCAAAACCAAGTCTTGCAGATTATAGGTGGGCTTAAAGATTCTTTAGTTGACAATGGGCTGGAAGAGTTAGACTTTGTCTGATAGACAAGGAGTCCGTGAGAAGGAATGCTTGAGTTAAGATAAGAGTCTGTTAATCAGAGACAAAGTACCAGACCTATGCCCAGACTCATGTGGTTTGCTACGTATAGCAAAGACCTGCAGGTGTGTCCTGCATAGCCTTAGTCACAAAGGACATCTCTAAGAAGAGAAGGGGGATGATGAGGCATGTCTGGTATTCTTTTGAAAGCACATGTAGTGAGAATAAGATGGAGTCAGGCAGACTAGGGCAGACATGACACAGTTGGTCTGGATGGTTTAGGTCCTTCCTGACCTTTGTCCCCTGTCTCCTATTCTTACCATTTTGTAAATTTAGCTCTCACCCTAAAGATGCCTATCTTGAGTAGTTTAGGTGGATTGATTTAGGAGATTAACTTTGGAATTGGAATATTGTAATAGGTCACTGATTTATGCTGATTATTATCTGAAATAGGGGCTGGTGTAGTCTTTGCTTTGAACTTTTATGTATAAAACTGTAAGTTTGAAAATGAAAGAATAGAACAGTCTTGGAGAGGTTTCTCTCACTGTTCTCCAGAATCCCAGCCTTCTGACAAAGTTTGGTAGCCCTATCTCTGTCTCTACATATTGGCTGACAGTGACAGATGGCTGAACTCTCTTAGTCCAGCAATACTTTCTCAAGGCTGGGCACTCAGTTTTAGGGACCCACTTTGCCAAGATGGCACCCAGGCAGTCATCCATTGTGGGGAATCTTACAAGTTTATTTCAGTGCACAATTCCCCTCTTTGAGCCAAGATCTGCCAGAGGCAGCATCAACAGCCAAACTCTTATGTTGTCCATTCATTGCTGAGGTGGTGTGGCTATCTGCTACCTGAGGTCCATTTGGGGCTTCAGTGGGACCCTTGTGGCCAAGAGAACTGAATAGCCAAAAGGGCTTACAGCCAATTAAATGTTTTATGCTAGATGGGACTGGAGGTGGACAGGCACTCATCAACCCTTTAAAACTCTTCTAGACACTGTAAGAGTAAAAACCAAAATGTCAAAGGAAAGGCTACAAAATTAATTTATCTGTTAAGTGCTGAGCTAGTGTATTTTTAGGCTTAGCAGCAAGTTTGTAGCAAACATAAGCATTGTTAACCATTTAAGCTAAGGGATTTAGAGAGTTCTGTTGTGTCATGATATTTTAGTCTCTTTAGTAATTCATCCTAAGATGGCTATTTCTTGTTATATATATCTTCTTTTGCATAAACCCCACAACTAAGAACAATTATACACAGGAAGCAAAGAGCAGCAATGTTGTGAAAATAATTTTTTTTTCTGAGTAGATCTTGACAGTGGGCTTAAAACATTCAGTAAATCATACAGATATGCTATTACCCTTGCTTTGTTGCTCCATTTATATAGCACAGGCAGAGAATAGATTTAACATAGTTTTAAGAACCCTTAGCAAGAGAGTCAGCCTATTCTCTGATGCAAGGTATTGACATCAATTATGAAAGTTCAATAGAAGGCTGTTTTGCCTACATTGAAAATTTGTTGTTTACAGTAGCCACTTTTATTGTCTTAGCTTTATCTTCTGGGTAATTTGCTAGTAGCTTCTACATCAGTACTTACACTTTTACGTTAAGGAGATGTTTTTTTTCCTCAAACCTCATGAACCAACCTCTGTTAGCGTTCAACTTTTCTTCTGCAGTTTCTTCACTTCTCTCAGCCTTCATAGAATTAAAAAGAGTTAGGACCTTGCTCTGGATTAGGTTTTGATTTAAGGAAACGTGGCCTGTTTGATCTTCTATCCAGACCACTAAAACATTCTCCTTATCAGCAATAAAACTGTTTTGTTGTCTTATCATTGATGTGCTCACTGGAGTAGCACTTTTAATTTCCTTTAAGAACTTTTCCTTGCATTCAAAACTTGGCAAACTGGCAAGAAGCTTAGCCTATCTTAGCTTTTGACATTCCTTTATCTCTAAGCTTAATCATTCCTAGCTTTTGATTTAAAGTGAGAGACATGCAAATCTTCCTTTCACTTGAACACTCAGAGGACTTTACAGGGTTACTGACTGGCCTACTTTCAATATTGTCATGTCTCAGCAAACAGGGAGGCCAAAAGAGAAGGAAAGAGTCAGAGGAACGGTGGTCAATGAAGACATACAACATTTATTACTTAAGTTTGCTGTCTTATGTAGATATGGCTTGTGGCACCCCAACAATTACAATAGTAACATCAAACATCACTGATCACCATAACAAATAATGAAAAGTTTGAAATATTGCCAGAATTACCAAAATGTGACAGAGATGCCTGTGAGCACATGCTGTTAGAAAAATGTCACTGATTGACTTCATACTTGATGCAATGTTGCCACAAACTTTCAACTTTTAAAAAGCCAATAAAGTGAAGTGCAATAAAACAAGGGCCTGCAGTTGGATCCCAGTATGTGCATTTTTTTTTAAGATCTCTCCTTTTTTAAAATATGCAACGCCAACTAGCCTTGAGAAAAAGTCCTCCAAATTATACTCCCACCAACAGTTCTATGTGTATAGATGTAACTCTGTTTCTGTGCATTCTTAACAAACATTATTGTCATAATAAGAAAAGACTGTTTGATAGATGAAAATACACACTCATGGGTGGCGCTTGTGGCTTAAAGGCAGGGCGCCACACCTGTATGCCAGAGGTGGTGGGTTCAAACCCAGCCTTGGCCAAAAACTGCAAAAAAAGAAAATACACACTCATTAACTTTTATCTGCTTAATCTTAGCTCAGAAGAGTTCACTAAGTTTGACTAGAGAGTAGTGGGGGGGGGGGGGGGAAGAAGAAGGTAGGAGGAGGAAAAAGGGATGGGATTTGTTAGTGAATTTTATAAAGTTAAAAGATGATATATATGTATATTTTTCTTCCTCAGAGAGAAAGACCCAGAGGTTCTCCCCTCTCCCTCTCACTTCCCAGAAAAAGTACCACAATTCAGTTCAATCCAGTCTAAAGGGCACTGGATCTGTACAAAAAAGACCAGTTCTTTTTAGGTCTTATGACTTTTTATATACATTCACAACTCTAGTCTTGTTTATCTTGAAGGTTTATTGTGTAATTAAATCAAATCATGCATTTGAATTTATTTTATGAACCTTAAATTCTACAAAGGAGTGTGCCAGGGGAATCAGATTGTAAAATCAGCAAGTAAGGTTAAAATTGAGTGCAATAAAAATTACTGAGAAGTTCCTCAAATTGCTCGTAAGTGCAGAAGGATACACTCCGGAGGCAGAAGAGACCAAAGACACTCTGAAAAATAGCTGGGCCAAACACACTCTCAGTTAAATTGCCAGTGGAATTGCTGCACTAGAACATTTCATTTCCTCTCTCTTTTTGCCAAGTGATGCAACTTTGTTATTCTACAATTGTATATTGGAAAGTCAAGAAACCTCTCTGGGCTTCTTTGTCTAATGGTGTAGTTCAGCTGGATCAGGGTTTCACCTACGGTTTCATCTGACAAATATCTTCAGAGTTTATGATGCTTGCTATGTTCCAAGCTGCTGTGCTGGATGTCGGAAGGGTGGAGGCTAAGCCAGTAGCAGTCTGATCACAAGAGGCTGGTGAGTGTTGAGACAGTTTCAACCTTGATTTGAGGAATCCTGGGTTCTTTGATCCCCTTCCAGGAGAGGCAATGAACTTACAAAAATCAAGTAGGTTACATATTTTGTTGTTACTTTGTTTCCCTTTTGCTGTTCACATTGCTACTTTTTGGCACAGAGTAATATTTTTTTCCAAACTTGGGTTAACTCTTTAAAAACTTTTTAATTGAAAAATACAAACTCCGGAAAAATTCAAACTGTACAATAAAAGTAAGACAACGAGAAGCAAGTTTCTCTTCTATTCCGGACCTCCCCCCCACATCATATTCCTCCCCAAACTTCTACTCAGAGGTTATCGTTGGGTAAATCTTTAAAAAGTAAGTTATTGTTGAGGCGATCTCTGGGGTCCAAAACTTAAAATACCAAACTTTAGTCCGTTACAGCTCTAAGTTTAAGTCCATTTCTTTTGCAGCACATATTTTACCATGCAATAGAGACAGACAGCCTCGGCTAGTCTAACATTATGGCTGCTAGAGGACACATAAATGTAAACTGGTATCAAAATATTAGAATTAGAACTGAAGGGCAGGAGAGAGGCTCCTTTTAGGATGCAAGCTCCATAAAGGTACGAAATTCATCACCAGCGCTCCCTGCAGGCCCTGGAACACCTAAGGTACCCCTCTGGGTAAACCCCCTGCAGCCCACCAAAGACGTAGTGGCTGGTCCTCAGCAGTGTAAGTCAGAGCAGGGAGCATCATGTGACTCGAGCTCCCCCTTCACCCACCCCAACCAGAGTTGCAGCGCCGGAGCCGCCCCCACTGGAGGCCCCACCAATCCGGAAAGGAAGTCAAATTTGGCTAAGCCTGGCGAAGGGTGTGTTCCACCGCCACATTACCACCGAACTAACTCAGCGCGCTCGCCTCCAAGTCCCAGACTGTCCTCCAAGACCCCCCTAGAAATAAGATTGCAAGCACGCGTGGCTGGGTCAGAGCGCATGCGTGACGACGCAGCGCGGACGCCGAGCGAAAATTTGGGCGGAGCTTCAGAAAAGCCCAGAGACGGGGAGGGAAGGAATCTCCAGAACGCGCGCGCGCGCCAGCCCTTCCTATCCCGACCCACGCGGCGCGGCGTGGTGACGCCCGCGCGGTTGAAGGGGCGGGGCCAGGGCGGGCTTCTGGCTCCTCCCGCCCTCTCTTGGTCCAGACTCTCCCTCCCCTTCCCTCCCCCACTCTCGGCCCCGTCAACGCGGGGGTGCTTTCGTCGCCTAGCCTCGCGTCGGCCCAGCCTGGCCAGGCCAGCGGGCAGATGCCCCGAGCTGCCGCGGCCACTGCTGCCGACTCGGCTGGTCGCAGTGTAGGAGGCGGGCGACCAGCCCGGGGCCGCTGAGTGTGACGGACGGGGCCAGGGGCCGCCGGGCGCCCAGGCGACGGTGGCTCCGTGCGGACCATGTATTTCCTGAGTGGCTGGCCCAAGAGGCTGCTCTGCCCTGTTGGGAGTCCCGCCGAGGCGCCTTTCCACGTTCAGTCCGACCCGCAGAGGGCTTTCTTCGCTTTGCTGGCCCCGGCCCGCCTCAGCATCTGGTACAGCCGAGTAAGTAGAACCACCCGCCGCCTTTCGCCGCTCCCTCCCTGGTTTCCTGGCTCTGTCCCGCCCCCAACTTCCACCCTGAGCCCCTGTCCCCTGCTCCTCCTTGCCAGACCGACTGGCCCTTGCTGTCGGCGTCCTATTCCAGCTACTTGGCCGCACGTACCCGTTGACTCGGGGCACGTCCTCCAGCCGGCAATCTGGGGTGGATGAAATCCCTGCGCCTCCCCGCGTTGGACCGACGGCTGCGCTCGGTGCAGACCCCGCGCGCCCCCTGGGTAGAGCCCAGACTTGCCCTTTCCTCCCTTCCCCCATTCCCAGAGAAACAAATTTGTTTAAACTTTCCTCAATTAGAAATCCAGCCGCTGTCGTGTCCCAATCTTCTCTTGCTTTAAAGGTCGTTGTTTTGGAGTTAGGAAAGCCTGTTGGGCTTTACTCAGCTCCAGACTTTACAGGAGTGTAGTAACTTAAAAACTCCACCCTCAGTTCTTTATTTTCTACTGAAGGTCTGGTTATTTAATTCCCATCCTCACCCTCAACGTTTCTCTCTCACTTTTGAGCTAGTCCTTGGCTGTTCTTGGACTCTTAGAGGAATGTAGAGGGGTAAGGAGTAGCGGAAGTAGAACTCAAATCTGTCGGCGCTGCTCCGAGCCCACAAAACACCTGGAAATAATAAGACTTGGGAGGAGCATGGAGCCGAGTTTTGTTTTTACTTTGAGTCCTGGCTGTTTTTCCTTTCTTGCATTTGATAACCCAACAGATAAGAAAAATAACGTGGTTGTGTATGGGATATTCCCTGCTCCTTACAAATACTGCTATAGATCTGTCAAAACGACAGAATTCAGATTATAGCGCCCCCCCAAAGCATCCTAATCTTTGTCAGAGTGAAGTTTTTCTCTTTTCGAAGTTAATTTGACCATGTAGAGATGGGCTGTGACCTTGCTGTTAGATGGATGTGAATGCTGTAGATGAGTTAAAATCCCCAGATCTTTCTGTATGTTACCCTTTCAGTGCCTGTGATGTCCTTGACTGTCCTCACAGCCCTGATGGATTTAGGTCATTCCGGTATATCCGTTATTTCACTATCATAATTGGGCTGTAAATCAGACTATTTGCCATTAAGTTTTGTCTGATCTAATTTCCAAATACATATCAGAACAAATAGGCTGTTATAAAATCTTAATACCAGTAATAATAAAATCTTAATACCAGTAATATGACTATTATTTCTGGTGCTTGATTAACTTTTTGAATATGTATATTATTTAGTTCTTGAGTGAGATATAAGTGTGTCAGTTGAATAACTTTTTACTTAGGTTTATGTAATATTAACTTTAAAGCACATACAGAAAAAATAATTTGAACTTGAATTTTAAGTTGTCTTCGGAATTTAGTACATAATTCCACTTTAATGTAACAAATTGTAAAACCTAAAATTTGAATTTTCTTACCTGTAAAAAGGTAGACCTAACTTAATTTTAGGCACACATAAACTTTATTTTTTTATTTCAGGTTATTGTGAGGGTACAAACAACCAGGTCAAAATAATTGAATTTGTTTAGGTAGAGTCCCTCTTGTGGTTATGTCCTGCATTCAAAAGGTGTAGGCACACATAAACGTAATATGTGGTATAAATAGACCAGCGCCTGTAAGCCACTTTATTCTCTTTTAAAAGAAATACAGAAATGTTCCTGAACTTTCTTAAGGACATCATGAATATTTTTAGGAATATCTATTGTTTGGTTTTGGTATTAGATGCTACATATATAAATCCAAATCAGTCTTAGAATTTTGAACTACTGGTACTTCTCTCCTTCAAACTCCCACCCCACTCATAGTTTCTTTTTTTCATAGAAGTCCAGGGGTCACTACTATTATGATACAGTGTGCTGAAGTTAGGTGTAGGGATTTGATGAATTTAGAAGTTCAGAGTAGTGCAATGAAATGCAGAAATACTTCAGGGGAGGTTGCATAGTACTGGTTTATATGATTTTATATAGTGGTTGACCTTGGTCTCTGGGCATCAGCTTTGTCACTTAAAAAAAGTCGTGTTGAAATCATGTGTTGCTGGAACCAGATGACTTGAAGTTCTGTGATTACAGGGATGTGACTAGGTAAGTGGAGAATAGGTGCCCAGACTCCAGTTCCCAGTCTTCTTTTTTTGGAATATGCCTTTTCTACTCTGCATGAAAGTTTTCGTTTTGATTTTCTAGTTTCTAAACTTCCTGAAACTATGTAAGTTAAAATAAATGTAGGTTAATTCTTTAAAAGTGAAAACACGTTTAGGTAAATTAAGAGGCTACTAGTTTTATTCATATCATTTGGAGTGAATTGGCTTAAAATGTTTGCATTAAGATTATAAAAGCTTTAATTTGGGGGGATGTTGTACATGCACGTAATTTTATAGAATAAAGGAACTTGAAGATCTATACAGAGTTGAAGTCTTATAGCAGCTGCTTGAGGGTATTATATGCTGAAAGAAATGAGGGTGGAACAAGATTTGCTTACTTGAAATTTTGTCAGGACTCACTTAGTAAATTAAACTCACTCAGGAGTGAGTGATGCATTGTAGAATGAGAAGACTAGCCTTGTGGAAGGAACATGCATTTAATAGTCTAAGCTGTTTGTTTTAATGTCCAAATTGTGTAATTTGTATGTGTACAGTGTTGATCATCCATGAGACTATGGAAACATTAAAATAAAATCTCTAAGACTAATTTGCATACAGTTCATATCGTAGGTCATCTAGTGAGCTTTTGTGTACCTTTTCTAGCTACTATTTATACCATAAGTAGATATTTGGAATCTCATTGTTATAGAGTCGTATGTCTTCAGAATTATTCCCTGCCCCAAATAGAAATACAGTGTCCAGCATAGTGCTGTTTAGACTTGCTTATGAACAAAAGAGTTTTTGTAGATCATTACTCATCTTTTTGATGGAGATTTTAAGACAGTTTACTTCATCATTAAAGTGTGAGGGTTTTATTGCTTTGTTTTGGTGTAATGTGTTGACTGTTAAGTTTGCTTTCTCTAAATTGTAATTACACTTAGGAGTACTAAAAACGGCTCAAGAGTCTATTTGGGGGATCATCTGCTTACTTTGGAGTCCCCAAAAAGATGTTAAGAAAAGGTTCAGTATAAACGTATCAGATTGGGGTGGTAGAGGTCGAACTTCATTGGGGTAATTGATGTATTTCTGCCAAGGGTATTGTAAAATGACTAGTTTCAGCTTTGAGTATGAAGCTGCTATCTAATATAGACATTATGTACAGCCTGCTGTATGTATTATGTCTAATATAGATATAAATATATAGATATTTTGATTTATAGGTATGTATTGTATAGATATAGAGATACAATACATACAGCAGGCTGTGATTTATGATTGACATGGTTGTAATGTGAGAAGAATTACATTTTATACTGTACCAGGGAGCCCAGAATTATTTCTTCAATATACTGGTTAACTGTGAATGTCAAAGTCCAGATATGTGAATGTCAAAATGATGTCTTAGATTCTAAGACTGAGAATGTTGTCATTCTAAATAATATATATAGTCACATCTCAATTTTCAGGTCACTAATTTCAAATATTTAAATTACCTTCAGAAGTACTTTTTAACATCAATGGGAAAAGATAGCTTAAATAGGCAGTTTATATGATCTAAAAAGATGAAGAAGCATGTTATATATAAAAAAAATTCTGTCCAAAAATGTTAGTGTGTTAATGTGATAAATGAAAATCTTATGAGTTATCACTGCTTGTAGGTTGCTAATAAAAAGCTGAAATTTGCAAATAATTACCTGGCATGTGAAGTAAGTTGTCTTTTAATAACCTAGAGCAAAACTTATGTTCGTATTGGTATGTGCTGGTAATGAAGAGAACAGTTAGATAGATGTCAGAAGAACCAAGCTGTAGCATTAGGTATATGGGGTGTGAATTTGATATCGGAGATACTCCTTTCTTGGAATATTTTATTGTTCCTTCTCTGTCTATCAGAATATTATCCCTCTTTTACTGCTGTGTTTTTCACCCTTTTTTATCACACAGCATGCTTGAACCTATAGTTAAATTTCTGTGGGACATTTAAATTGTGTTGATGAAAAAAAGTAGAAAATAGAAGATACTTAATTGTGCTTTGAATTGCTTTGGAAATGGCACTATGTGTTTGAGCATCTCTTGAAATCTTTCTTTCTCTGAGTCATTCTCTACCTACCATACCTTGCTGGAGGTGTTTATTTTTCTGAGAACTACTGATTTTTTTGTTCACTACTGTTACTGCAGCATAATTGACAAATATAAATTGTATATACTTAAGGAGTACAACGTGATGTTTTGATACACATATGTGCTGTCAATTGGTAACCACAAACAAGCTAATTATTCGTCACCTCATACTTGCCTTTTTTTTTTTTTAAATATGTGTGGTGGAAACATTTAAGATCTACTCTTAGAGAGGTTTCAAGTATGCAACATATTTATTGTTAATTAACTGTAGTCACCATGCAACCCATTAGATCTCTAGAACTATTTCCATCTTATAATAGAAAATTTGTAGCTTTTTAGTAAGTTTAATTGGTGGAAGACCTACTTGGTTTTTGTTTTTTTGAAAATGGGTATGCCTATTTTAGTTCCTTTGTATATTTCCATATAGATTTTAGGATTATATTGTCAATTTTTATAAAAATTCTTATTGGGCTTTTCAGAGATTGCATTAAATCTGTAGATCAGTAGGGGGAGAATTACTATCCTAACAATACTGAATTCTCTAATCCAGGTGTCCTTAAACTATGGCCTGTGGGCCACATGCGGCCTGCCTAGGACATTTATTCGGTCTGTTGGGTGTTTTTGCCTCCACTGCCTGTCTTGCTTAGCAGCTAACTCGTCCTGGGGCCTGCAGTCCGGCCCTCCAACGGTCTAAGGGACAGTGAACTGGCCCCCTGTTTAAAAAGTTTGAGGACCCCTGCTCTAATCCATGAAAATGCAGCATTTCTCTATTTATTTA